GCGTAGAAACCATTTGAGATCTCAAATTTTCGAGTGTCGATTCTTCTTCAATCCTTGTCATGTTAAGATTCTCCTAAGCAACCTTCCTTCTGGGTTTTTGTGGGTAAAATCTCTGGATTCTGCTTTTCTTTTGTTACGATTGTTTTGAGCTACTTGTTTTCTTTGTGCGATTGTGATAAGATATACGAATCTTAATCTTAGTTGTTTCGGTTCTAGTTCTTTGAATTCCTGGATCTTTGTTTGCTAGTTATTACAAAGTCGGATCATTTCTTCGTGGGTTTGTCCATAGAATCCTGGAAATTTTAATGGGTAGTTCTAAAAAAAATGGAATTGAGCTGGGTAGGTTCCGATTTTCGCAGTATTGTTTCGAAAATTTGAAGTTGGGTATTGATTTTGAGTCTGACACTACCTTATTCCAGTCATTCCTTTTGATGAATGCGGATTTGTTTCTTGTTGTCTTTATCTGTGTATTGGTGATATTTCCAAGGTTTATCTATTGGTATGCACTTGATTGCTTCATGGTTATATGCAAACTGAAATAACAAATTTTAATTACTCACTCTCCTTTTTTCTGGCTTTGAATTTCACTTTGTTCTGGATAGTAACGGATGGGGAAGAAAGCTAAGAAGAAGGTCCGAGCTCCACCAAAGGAGAATCTGACCATGACGCTCTCCGAGAAGGTCTCTGAACAGCCTAGTGAAGCCGGGGAAGTAGCTGAGGTGGCTGTTAAATCAATGAAGGAGAAACAAGCTTGTGTGCATTTCAATAAGGGTCTTAATTTGGATAAAGTGTTGGATAAGATCAAGTCTTCCCGGCAGATTAAGTGTCAGGAATGCAAGGAAAGGGTGCACGACAAGAGAGGAATTAAAGCGAAGGGTAATAAGGGGAAACATGGATTTGCTTCTTCTGACCCAAAATCTGACAAAAAAGCTATTTGGGTTTGTTTGGAATGTGGCTATTATGTTTGTGGAGGTGTTGGGTTACCAAATGGAGCTCAGAGTCATGTTGTGAGGCATATCAGAGTGACGCATCACAGATTGGTGATTCAATGGGAAAATCCTCAGTTAAGATGGTGTTTCCCGTGCCAGTCGCTTCTCCCATTTGAAAAAGAAGAGAATGGTGAGAAGAAAGATGTGCTGTCGGAGGTTGTAAAATTGATTAAAGGACGATCTTTGAACAATTTAGCTTTATCTGATACCGAAGAGCAGTGCTCAGCAAGTGGCAACATCAGTAGTGATATCAAATTAGAAGGTGCTGTGACTAGTGGTGTAGAAGCAAGAGATGGTTATGTCGTGCGAGGTTTAGTTAATCTTGGGAACACATGTTTCTTTAACTCGATAATGCAAAATCTTCTTTCTTTGGATCGGTTACGCAATCACTTCTTGAAGGAGGATGTGTCTGCTATTGGTGGGCCTCTTGCTTGTTCCCTGAAGAAATTATTTACTGAAACGAAACCAGAGGCAGGCTTGAAGAGTGTGATAAATCCAAGAGTCTTTTTTGGGTCTTTCTGTACTAAGGCACCCCAGTTTAGGGGTTATGACCAGCATGACAGCCACGAGTTGCTACGATGTCTGCTAGATTCGTTGAGCACCGAAGAATCGGCCTTGAGAAAGAAGCGTGGTGTTTCTGATAATGATGATAAATCTACTCTCATAGATTCCGTATTTGGAGGCGAAACTTCGAGCATTGTTTCTTGTATGGAGTGCGGGCATTCCTCAAAAGTCTATGAGCCATTTTTGGATCTCTCTTTACCCGTACCATTCAAGAAAACCCCTCCTAAAAAGCTGCAAACTGTTACTCGAGCAAAGAAAGCTAAGCTTCCACCAAAAAGAGTCCCTAAGAATGTGTCAAAGGTAAGTAAAGTTTCAAAAGTTCTTCCAACTAAGGCTCTTTCGGAACTGAATCCTCCGGGAAAAGCTTTGGTTACCACAGCTGATTCAGATGCATCATGTTCCACTTCTGCACCCATTGATAATGGTCTGGATTCAGAGACTTCTTCGGTTATAACCCTTGACAATAAGCAGGCCCCAGAAAGTGTAACACAAAGTGATACTGTTTTCGATAGCTTCTGGTTGGATATCATTGGACCAGAAACCTTTGGAGATGAGACGAATTTGGATATGCAAGATAATGTTAGTGATAAACCCCCAACAACTGAGGCTAATCAAATTGTTCCTGGTCCAAATATTCATGCTAATACCTCAGTTTCATCGGGTGATCAGACTTTGGAAGGTAACACAGAGAGGCTGATGCAAGATAATGATGGATTTGCAGAGGCAGAACCCATCTTGGATGAAAAAGATGTACAAGCAACACAGTCTGATGAATGCACAGCTACAAGCGGTATTTCTTCAGAAATCAACCAAGTTAGTTACATCGGTGGTGATCCTGGTATAGGGGAAAGTTCTTCCTCTGTGAATCCTTGGGATGAGGAAGAGCTTCCCATGGTGGTTGCAGATTCGCAAGTTCTGTACATGCCATACAAAGAACACATATCCTGTAGTAATGATAAAACAGTTGCGGAATGCGAAGGCGAGGCTTCATCTTCGTTTGTTACTGGTGATCATGAACCACAGAACAATGATTTTGTTGATTTTGGTGGTTTATTTGATGAGCCGGAGACTACTGAAGGACCTGTTTTCGGACCTCCTTCTAAGGCTGAAGCTTCGGGAGTTGGTTTTATGGCGTTCAGCAGCGAGTCTGATCCTGAAGAAATCGATGATTCAGATTCACCGGTGTCTGTTGAGAGGTGTTTGGCTCATTACACAAAGCCTGAGATTTTGTCGGATGATAATGCTTGGCATTGCGAGAACTGTTCAAAGAACCTGAAACTACAACTGCTGATAGAAAAGCAAAAATCCATAAAAGATGATTCGAGATCAAGCAACACCAGCAATGGATGGGTGAATGAAAATGAAAACGAAAAGGATGTTTCTGGAGAAACCGTTGTTTTGGCTACAAAGCAATATCCAAGTGATACTTTTATTGTCAAGGATCATAACTCTAATGGAAAAGAAGCTACGAGTTCTCACTCAGCTAATGACAATGAATCCGAAGAAACTCAAGATGAAGATTCTGAGAAAGTGATAACAGTAAAGAGAGATGCGACTAAAAGAGTGCTTATAAACAAAGCCCCACCTGTCTTAACTATTCATCTAAAACGGTTCAGCCAAGATCTGCGAGGTAGGCTAAGCAAGTTAAATGGCCATGTTGCTTTCAAAGAGGTCATTGATCTTCGACAATATATGGACGCGAGGTATATCATCACTTCTCTTCTACATTACCACATTTTGATCTGTCTTTTAGCTTAATCTCTATCATATGAAAACCGCTTCTTTGGTACTTTCAGGTGTAGTGGAGAAGACCCGCCTGTCTACAGACTGGCTGGATTGGTGGAGCATTCAGGGACGATGAGAGGAGGTCACTATGTGGCGTATGTTAGAGGAAGTCAGAGAGTTAAAGAGGCTGAGTCCTCCACTGTTTGGTATAACGTAAGCGATGCACATGTTCGTCAAGTTTCGTTGGAAAAGGTTCTGCATTCTGAAGCGTATATCTTGTTCTACGAACGGATCTTATCACAAGACTGAAATTATTTTTGTTAATTTCGATTATACTGAGAAAGGAAAGAAGAAAAACAGTTTTGATCTTCTTCTATCTACAGCTTTTGCTGAGAAAGTTTTTGACGATCACATTAGATCAAATACCATTAATTTTGTTTTTTATATCATGTTTTGGAGTTATTAAACTATGTATTATCAGAAACATGTCTGAATATATTTGAGCCTCTCAACTGCGTTACATTGTCTTTTCCAAATATTAGACAAATGAGAATTGGCTCTACATTCTAATTGTAACCTAACAAGCTAAAGCTAAAAGTTACAATTAAATGGGTTGACAAACATGTGGTTCTCTTGCTCATTACCCGATTAGAATTTGCTTACAAGGGTTATTACATTGATAAGCTTCGAAAAGTACAAATGTGTTAGACTAGACTTAGCTATTACCTAAAGAATATCTATATGCCACAGTTTCTAGATGAAAAATATTTTCCTTGAGTGTGGACTTGAGAAGATGTAAGATTAAGAGAGACTGCCTATAGCTATACAAGAGGTGATCGTAGGGTTTGGATCATCATGTCTCTAGAAACATTGGAGATTGGATGATCTGAGTTAGCTCTTTAAGGTTTTGCAGTAACTGACGTGATCCTCGAGTAGTTTTCCCCACAATGTTCAGCAGTTGTTCAATGTTCTGTGATATGAAGAGAAAAACGAAAATGTGAAGGAGTGAAGTCAGTATGCACTGTTCAGGGCGTTAAGTTCGATGTCTGAGGCAAACAAAAAGGAGAATTTTCTGTTTTGAATTCACCTTGTTCAGTAAGAAGACAGCATAGGCAGCTCGGGTTGAATCTTGACCATCCAGAAACAGAGGGAACTCTACAAATGTTAGGTTCTCGGAAAGTGTGGCAATTGGAGTCATGTCAGATGATAAAGGCTCAATGGAGGGTGCAAAGTCTCGAATATAAGATTTGGAACCACCAAAGCGCAAAGGATAACGAAGAGGCACTGTCAAGTAGGAAGCTATTAGTGACACAGCCTGCAAAACCCAAAGTAGGAAACAATGAGTTACGTTTACTATGATTTTTGAGTACCTTCTGTCAAGGATTCAATCCAGATAGCAGTGAGATCCGAGAACAAAAGCCAAGAGATTTAGGTAATAAAAACTCTTTTGAGTCAAGTTTTAAAGCGTTTGGATCAGTGACGAGCAAAGAGAAAGGAACACACATGAGCTACATAACCCAGGGCGGTTGCAGACCTCTGAGCCTCCTCCTTGTCGGTAAAGAAGCTCATCTTTGCAAACGGAGCCATACTAAAAGGCAAACCTAAAATTGTCACAGAGCCGCCTTCAGTAACAGGCGTAGTTCCTAGTAAAACCACATAAATATGCAAGTTAGCAGGTAGTATGCTTTTTAAGAACTTTTTTCAGGTACAAAGAAAAAATTTAAAAAGCGAGCATTAATATCAAAGCAGATTGAACAATGTACACATAAAGGCATGGATTAAAAGATAGCTTGTAACTCAAAGTACACAACTGACCTGATTTACTGCCACCAGGAAATGATTCAAGTTTTTGGTCTTCTGAAAGTCCAGCCTTGATCTTCAAATGATAGATACGTGACACAAGTGATATCATATTTTGTTGCCTTTTTCTCAGCTTATTCATCACAGAATTTAGACGAGCATAATCTCTTTCTCCTTCTAGTTGGCAGTTTGAATCCTGTGACAAAATAAACTGAACTATAGTTCTATGCTTTGATCACTAACAAATAAATCATGATTATCATGACACTTGATTGAAGAATCAGTTGTGAAACAGAGATGGATAAATGTGCAAAAGACCCTCAAAGAAGATGCCTATATTATATACAAACATATGGAAACAATTCATTTAAAAATATGCAAACAACAGTCACAATAGCACAAATGATGCATATCCCTCACTGAAAACAAGTAGCTTGCATCAATAGAGGATAATACCTGAGATTTACTCTTAGTGACAGAAAGGGATGTGCCACCAATCACCAAAGCTTTTACTTCGGTACTGAGTTTCTCCTCTTTCTTTTTAGCATCATGTTCGGCAACTTTGCTAGCAGCTGATGTTTTTTCGACCAGCAATTTTCTAGCTTCCAGCCTCTGACGCATTTCTTCAAGTTCATTTCTGCGGCTCAATGTTTCAGCATTCACCTGCCCGAAATTTGGCCGCCGGCTAATAGCTAATCAATTAAACCTCATTGAGTATATAATATAAAGAGATAACTATTGCATCAACAAAATGTCAAAAAGTTTCAAGGTCCATGTAGATGATCATACAAGTGTGTCTGCAAAACCCATAAGTTTACTTCATATGAATTTCTACTTAGTTTCTTCCTCATTGCTAGAGACCATTCAAAACGATTAATAAGAGAAAGACCTGAATAAGAGGCTCAAGCTTTTGTTGCAGGTTTCGCTTCCTCTCGTTTGCTTCTTCCAGAGCAGAATAAAGACTCAATATCCGCGTGAGCTCATTCTCGAAATCTTCCCATTTTATCTTCTTCACATCTTTATCAATTCTTCTCAATCTTTCCATCAATAATTGTGTAAACCATAAAACGCCATTTCTGGCATCAAATTTCCACGCGAAGATCCATATTATGTCTCCAAATTCATCACAGGAAACGCTCACTGACAGAGAGAAGAAACCCGATCCGTTCGTGAGTCTTATTAAGCTCTTGATTCTGATGAAATCCTCGAGCTTATCCTTCCTCTGAATCCCGTTCTTTTCGTTGTTCCGTTGAGAGAGAGATCTTCCGGGTGCAGAAAGGAACTTCCCAAGCTACTTTCTTGGGCGGGTCGGGTCGGGTCGAGCAATATAAACCGTCCGATTTCAAACTGGTGCGATCGCACGATCCGATGTTTCCTTAACCAAACCAGTACTGGCTTAACCGATGGAGTTAATTTATTTTCAATGTCAGAACCGGAAATAAATGAACCGGCAATGATTGAACCGGCCCTACGTCTTCCTCTTTGCCCAAGCAACGAACGGACTTCCCCCATTAAAAGGAAAGACATCGACCGTCAAAAGGAAAGCCTTATCGGAGGAATCGAAGTCGGAGAGGTTGTAGCCATGGCAGGAGTATCGCTCAAGTGTGGCGATTGTGGTACGTTGCTGAAATCTGTGGAGGAAGCTCAGGAGCACGCCGAGCTCACCTCTCACTCCAATTTCGCTGAGTCTACTGAAGCGGTGCTCAATCTCGTTTGTACTACTTGCAGCAAGCCTTGTCGCTCTAAAACTGTAAGGATCTTCAATTTTTCATAGATTCTTTGTTCTTTGGTGAAATTGAATCGGCTTTTGTTGGTGGGTAGAAATTACACGCAGATCTCCTTGGGTTTTCTTTCTCAGCTCTTGAGTTTGATAATTTCGATTGGTTCTTCATTCTTTAAACGATTTTGACTCTGCGATTTCGATTTGACTTGAGTTTTGAATGAAATTGAGTCCTTTTCATGTGTTTCCCGCTGATTTCAGATCTCAATCCTTTTGGGCATTCTGCTGCTGTATTTGTTTTCTTTAATGTCTGGTTGTACTGCTTTTGTATTGCTTGTGGAGTTTGGTTTCTGCAATTTGGTTTGAGTTTCATGATTACGGTACTGAGGTGCCTTAAGATCAGCGAAGTGGTTTGTAGAGTGTCCATTAACTGGAAAAAACTATGCTTTGATTATTTCTGATTGCCTATCTTGTCTCATTCTTATACAATGTGAAGGAAAGCGATTTGCATACGAAAAGAACAGGGCATACTGAGTTCGTAGATATGACAATGGAAACGGTAAAACCCATCAGCTTGGAAGCTCCTAAGGTTGATATGGAGATTGACAACCCTGATGGTTCTAGTGGTAGTGGGGAGGCTGCTGAAGGTAGAGCGCCTTGTTAACGCATATGTATTGCATGAGTTTATGAATGTGACCTCAACGTTATTTCTTCTCTTTCCTGCAGAGATGGTTGTTCCAGACGTTGACAAAAAGCTTCTCGAGGAACTTGAAGCAATGGGCTTCCCTATAGCTCGCGCTACCCGAGCACTCCACTACTCTGGTAAAAATCGAGCGTGTCATGTTCTTCTCTTTTCACTTTTGGTTTTGGGCTCCTATTTCTTTTATACATTGTGATATTTTTCTCCGTTTCATTTTCTGTAACATAATTTGCATTCATTCCTTCAGGTAATGCCAGTCTCGAGGCTGCAATTAATTGGGTGGTGGAGCATGAGAATGATCCTGACGTAGATGAAATGCCAAAGGTAGGTGTCTTGTCAATAGTTTCTTTTCAGTAGAATGTCTGTTTTTGCTTCTTGATAATTGCACTCCAAATCTCCGTGTTTAGTTCTTGTCTCAACGTGGAAAGCATTTGCGCTGTGAAAATTTTTAGGCCACATTTTTCTTTTTATTTCGACTTTCTGTAATGTCTTCTTGTTGACTGTTTGCCTAGGTACCTGCCAACTCTAATGTTGGGCCCCCTAAACCTGCTCTTACGCCAGAAGAAGTGAAGATAAAAGCACAAGAATTAAGGTTCTATGAGTATTCTGTTATTTTTTTTTCCATGTTCATTTTCTTTTGTAGCGTGCACCAATAACGTTACACTTTTATCATGCATAACCTTGACTTTTTCGTCTTTTTTCAACTGTCAAAATTCTATGATAATCCTGGAAGATGATTATTTTCAAAGTCAGATTAGATTTCCCTTACTTTTTGTTGTTCCACATCTAAGGGAACGTGCACG